GGTGATAAAAAAAAAAAAAAAAAAAAATATAACAGACTCGATGCCAAAATGAGAAGTAAAACAAAAGAACACCCAGCAGCTACCAGACCCATATCCCAACTAAGTACAAATCAAATGTGATTATGATGCAACCATAATACTGCTCAGTTGGGCACATCATTATTACACGGTACAACAATGCAGCAGATGTTTTGTGAACACTGATGCTACTACAACGTCATCTCGCCAAAACGACCTACCTTTTGCCCGTTGATTGTCTTGGCTGTCGTTGTTGAATCTGACCCCCCCCCCCCCCCCCCCCCCCCCCCCCCCCCCCCCCCCCCCCCCCCCCCCCCCCCCCCCCCCCCCCCCCCCCNTTAAGATGCCCAGATTGGACCCACATCGAACCCAATCAACCACGACATCTAAGTTTGTGAGCCAACACATGTGTACGACGACTATCCCTTCATTACCAAAAGCCCTGCAAAAGTTGAGGTCAAATTGAAGTCATCATTTCCACCTTCAGAAATTGATGCAAGTAAAATGAAAATGATGGAAACCGTACCATAAACTTCAAGCATTCAACTAAAGTTGAATCCACCAGAAGGAACTGGAAGAGCGTTTCCACCGAAGCGGAAGCCAGGTTGAGCCTCACCATCAGTAGCGGCCAAGGCCTCATCCTCTTCCTCCAACCAATATGTCTCGAGAATTTTGACAGCCTTTTCATAGATCTCATGGTTGTCATGACTCTGGAGATTTTCAATCTTTTCTAAACCCTCAGCATCATCGATCATCTGCGCATATAGATTAACGTCTCCACTGGCACCCAAATTCTTTTCGGCTTCTCCGACCTTCAAAATGTTCTCTAACCCTTCTAAACAAACCGTAACAATCCTAGGATCTGGGCATACAAGAAGATCACATAATGGTTTGATGCAGCCTTCAGTGACAAGGTACCTATACAGCAAGAAAGGAGGCATGGTCCATCAAAGAAGAAAACTCGAAGGTCAGGGAGAAAGAAGCTTGTCGTTCTAAAATGACTTACTTAATTTGATCATGAGCACCACCAGATGTTGCATTTGAAATTGCCCATGCAGCCTCTTTTTTTATGTCAAACTCAGCAGTTTGAAGCAAATTCACTAGCGGAGGTATTAACTCAGCATCAATGACAGCCTGCATTATGAACGACACAAATCTTAGGATTAATTTTTAAGTTGGCACGAGTAATCCATAACCAAGAGGTAGAGACTTCAGTAGTTGACATAATTGCTTTTGGAAAGTGTAACCTATGCCAAATACACAAATCTTATGTATCAGCCCAAACCCACCGCTAGTAGATATTGCCCGCTTTGGCCCGTTACGTTTCGCCGTCAGCCTCATAGTTTTAAAAAGTGTCTACTAGGGAGAGGTTTCCACACCCTTATAAGAAACATTTCGTTCCCCTTTCCAACCGATGTGGGATCTCACATCTTATGTTCAATTAGCATAGTTGCTGTTGCTGAATATAAAAAAATCGTCTCCTACCTGGATTTGTTCCTTGTTTCCAGCAGTAATGTTAGATATTGTCCAGCAAGCCTCTTTCTTGATACTCTTTTTATGATTGTGAGTCATTAAGCTCAGAAGGCATGGAAGCGCACCATCACTAATGATACACTGATAAGAGAAACAATAAAACAAACGACGAAATCACATACAAATAAATAATCATAAACAAGGCCACAATCATTATCCAAACTACAGTTAGTCATAATTATAGTTTTTATTCTCCTTTTGCTGCCTTTAGAGTGAGATAAAAATGACTCAAAATTTGCATTCTTGAAACGACTTAAAAATTGCAATAAGGGTTATAGTATCCTCATTCATACCTGAGTTTGAAGGTCATCTCCGGTCACGATATTCCCAACCGTCCGAAGAGCAGGAATGAGAACTGATGATGAAGGATGTCTGAAGAAACACACAAATTTCCAAGGTAAGAAAAATGAAAAGGGAGCATTTGTTAGACAGGTTGAACTCGTATATACAAGATATAAGCTTACAATAGGAGCTGTACAAGTCGCCCGCACACCCCTGCCTCAATCACGGCTTGGATTTTATCGTTTGTGCCATCAGAAAGATAAGAGAGAGCCCAGCAGGCATCTGTCAGAACTTCTTCGTCATTCGAGTGAACTAGGCGCTCAAGTGCAGGAAGAGCTGGCTTTACCTGTACAAGAAACATTTAAATGTTACACATAAGCAGGAGAAAATTTCTAAATCTCAAATTTAACCATAATTACAAAAAGTAACCTGATCAAATGGAGGTTGTGGCTTGCCCCGACAAAAGTTCGAAAGTGTCCAAGTAGCATTTCGCAACATGGAAAGCTTAGCATGCTCATTCAGCTGTGAAAGAAGTGGAACCAAAGCTCCATGGCGAAGGACAAGATCACGGCATGTAGGTGAATCTCCAGCAACATTGCCCAAAGCCCACACAGCCTACAAAATCATTAACCATGGCATTCAAGTTTCGAATTTCATCCAAAGCCAGCACACATATCAAATAAAGGAACAAAAAGCTTGACTAAATTCTAAAATATACCTGCTCTCGAACATCATCACTAGGAGACACGAGTAACTTAACAAAAATGGGAACTGCACCATGATCAATAACCACCTTTGTGTGCTCCGAGGTTCCAGACGCTATGTTCGTGAGAGCCCAAGCAGCTTCAAACTTCAAGCAACACATATATCCAAGTCGGTACAAAAAGAACAACTAATATAAATTCAAACCAATAGTACAGTTAGCAAGAATGTGAACTAAAACCTGAAGTTGAGGGAAATCCTCCCTCACAAGAAATTCTACAAAACGAGGAACAACTCCAGATTGAATCACTTCCTCAATGGGAGGGCTTCGTTCTGCAATCGACAATACAGTAATCAAAACAAGTTAAAATTTCACAGCAAAAGAAGACGAACAGTAAACAAACATATTATACAGCATAATGCACAAAAAAGTACCAATCGAAAGTAATTTCCGAAACTGAGTTGTTGCCTCCAGCTGAAGATTACTATTATCAGACCAGACCCCCGCAACCATAGACGGAAGGCTCTCTAACTGCAATCAAAGTCAAACTCAACTCTTCATAACCACAGCCGTAGGCCAAAAACCCCTAAATCGTAAAACCCCCCAACATCCAAATCGATAACCCCTTAAAAAACGTTCACAAGATTCAAAGATCAGATGCCAAAACCTCCAGAAAAAATCCATAGATCCGAGATCATTACAACAACACAGTCGAAAGAATAAACATAGAGATTGAAATCGAAGCAATCGAATGCGACAATACCTTCTTCTCGACAGTGGAAGTGTGGACAGCAGAAGGAAACTGCTGTGCTTGAAGGCCTTCCCTACGCTTCTTCTGAAGGCTCTCTTCGCGTTTACTCTTCCTGATCTCCACCATATTATCTTCTCGCCGGCGACGGCCCTCTTCAGCATCAACAGAGACCTTATAACGGTTCCGACGAACCTCGGTTCTTGCAGTCGGTCTCAACGACATGGCTTCTTCCTCGATTAACTTCGGCTTGTTTCAAGGGCTCGATTCAAAAACCCTAGCAGAAATGGCAATTGCTGAAAGAAAATTCAAAAATGGTCGGGATCGCCGGAATAGAGAAAAACCCTAATTATGGTCGCGACGACAATAATTGAATATCCTAGAACCCAACCTTGGTTTGATTTCAAAGTACGGCGCTGTGGAATGGTTTAGAATTTGGACAAATTTATAGATCCATGGTTTGGAAGCATAAAAAATATATATATTCATAATATTAAATAAAAATGTGGTTTTTCAAAACTGCCATTTAAATAATCATTGTTTCTATATTTCTGCTTTTAAATATTTTTTCAATATTTTACCTTGCAGAAAATCTAGGGCATTGACTTCGCACTGACAGACAGGGTAACTTACAAATTCATAAATTACTTTTTTCTAATGTAGCTTTATCTATTTTTAAAAATTCGGACACGAGAAAAACACACTGAAAAAGCAGATAACAATATATTTATTTATTTAAATTTGTTTTAAATATATATATATATATATAAATTAAAATTTGTTTTAATTAGCCGAAAGTAGATTAAGAAGTTTCATAATATTTGGATAAAACAGTCTGTAGATAATATATCGGTAATAAAAACAATTTACTTTTTTTAGTCAATAATTATCTTAACAAAAAAAAGTTGTTTGGCAGGATAATTAATTATTGGACAGTGCATAACATTATTTTAATTACTAAATACATTGTTTTTTAAACAAAATATAGAAATTCATCAATATCACTCTATTTTACAAACTCTCCTATTAAATCAGTTAACGGAGAATTGGGCTCAAAATGTGGGCTGCTAACCCATCTATTGTCGACATTTGGGCTCAAAACATGGGCCTATAAAACCAGATGTCCTTTAAATGTGGGCTCAAAGAGCCTAGCCCCACGATTCATAATATGAGACTGTCAAAACAAATATCTGTCGACTTTGGGCTTAAATAGCTTAAGCTACCATTAAAAACATGGCCTCATAAAATAGAAATTTAGGATTTGTATGTTTAAAGAAAAATACCAATTTATAATTAGACCCTTTATGTAAAAATTATGCATCCATCATCGATGTTGTTTTTATGGACGAACCAAACCATTTATCAACACCTCATAAATTATGACATGTTTTAAACTTCATTAAATGTTAATTTAGCCATTTAATTATCATATAATTTTTTTCCTTTTTAATAAAAAAACATTTATAATTCAGAGAAGGTGATCAAATATATTGGTAAGTGAAACCAAATCAAAAAAATGGTAATATTGATAGACTAATTTATCTCGAATTTTTGTTTTTAAAATCTTACCCATTTAGCATGTTTTTGGGCATTTCCATAACTGATTCTCCCACAGGAATATTCCTATATACAACGGCTAGAAAAATCTGTGCAATTTAATGACTCACCCAAAAAAAGAGAAAAAAGTCAAAGAAAGGGAATTTGTTGGGAACAATAACATAAACTAACAATATTATGCACACATTCGTCTCAATCAAACAAGAGGAATATTTACATTGAAGGTGATTTTTCATGTGGGTTTAAGTGAAATCATTCTTCGGGTGTAATTAGAGACGATAAATCTCGCAAATGGTTCCGGATGCAAAGTAGTCGAGCCGAGCCTTGCATCGACGATCGAGCAATGTGCCCCCATTACAAACAAACAGTTTCACACACATTCTAAACACAAATTGCGGAGAGCGATTTGCATCTTTTGTGTGAGCATTCTGTGGAAGATTGCTTCGGTTCTTGCAAACTTTAAATCTGAAACTTCCAAGTTTCAACTAGCTAAGCAGACTATTCACAATGGACTGACTTGTTGAGAAGAAGGATGACCTGCCTTTGTTCATCTAATACGGGAGAACTTTGATCTTAAGAGTTACAACAACAAAGTGTATTTGGAGCTGCAACTAAATGGGGAATCAAAGGAAGAAATTTTCTAAACGCAAATATTTTCCGTTTGGTAACCGCTAAAGTCGACCGATCCGTTGTCTCCTTGTTGCTGGAAAACAGAAAACATAGCAAGAGTGAGTTTAACAGTGATATATGAATGTAAGAATTCCAATTTTGATAACTTTAGACATTGCTGATAGGAGGAAGGCCTAATCATACAAACATTAACATCAAGGAAAAAAAGCAAACTAACTTCTTGTTTGAGGAAGACACTGAGAAGTTCATCCTGGCCAAAATTCTCAGATAAGAGGTCTGTTTGATAGCTTGCATCAGGGATTCTCTGAGGTTTAACGTCCCCGGGATCGAGAGGCAACTTCTCAGCATTACTCTGCGCATTCTCGGGTTGAGTTGCATCCGAAAAGGGAAAGATAGTCTTTCCAGCAGAGGATGAATTATGATTTTGTCCATTTGTTTGGCTTGAAGGAAAACCATGATGAATCAAAGTTGAAGGTGAGACATCAAAGCTATCCTGTATGAAGTTCCCATGGTGAGAAGTACCAAAGGCCAAGCTGCCTACATTGTGAGAATCCCAGTCATGGGATTTTTGCAGATGCAAGTCACTAAAAACATCATAACTCGACATTAGTCCGTCCGACCCATGTAGATCTGAACTAATTTCCTCTTGAAACACCCCTTTACAGGTTAGGGTAGATACGGTCGAATCACTCGGAAGAGAAAAATTGTTTGACAATTCTGTGAGTTGGTTCATTGGAAAGTTCATCATCAAGGATGCTGGCGAAACTAGGTTATATCCAGGTCCTTGGGTACTATCAGCAGTCCCATTTCGACTCGTAATGCTACCTGATATGATCGGAAAAGACGATGAAATTCTGGGTAAGTGGCTAGCAGGAGAGTTACTTACAGCCTGTCCTCCAGTTTGCTGATGGGACAAATGATGCATTAGTTGAGTTGCACCATGTTCTGTCTTGATATTGAGTGGCATGTTTATGTTCCCTTGAGTCTGCACAGAAGGGTGCATAATGGCAGGCTGCTTTGGCTCCATTTTTGTTGGAATCCCATGAAACAAGTTTATTGGTTTACGGTTGCTTAGGTGTGGCGTTTGGTCCTCAACAAACCTCAATTTTGGATTTTTAAAGCTGAATAGGTTGTTCTGATCAACAAGGGCCATCGACATGCTAGATTTCGCTGCAGCAGGCCTTCGAAATTCGGTTGCTTGGAGTGCAGCAAGGCTTTGAGGCGAGAGATGGCCAGTGACCGAAAGTGTCTGAAGATCAATTCCATTGAATGAAGCCATTGGCCCAAAAGGCGGATCTTGGGGGTTCATAAAAGAATTGTTCAAATTACATTGGAGTGAGTGTGACGATGATACTCCACTAAGCCTTCTAAGATATAACCGATATTTCTGCATAACCATCAAATAAAACAATTAAGATGCCCATCCTAACAATCAAGAAGAAAAAGAAAACATGGAAAGAGCCTTCGAAACTCTCATCATACCTGGAGGTGACTGGCAACATTTTCTCGAGTAAGCCCCGGAACGTTCATCAACTCCAATATCTTTTTAGGAACAGCCTCTGTTTATTCAAAAGATTGAAAACATAACCAACAAGAACTATGATGAACATATCATGAAGAGTGATCTGGATTAACAAGGTCAAGCATTAAATGGCAGAGCGGATTGAAGATCACGGAGGGTGATCAGGATTAACAAGGTCAAGCATTAAAATCGAAACAGCCTTAAATGAACTAGGCACTTTGAAAGTTATTGCTACAAGGTCAAAGCGTGGATATGTACATTTTTCTGCTCTTATATGCAGTTGATGGTGGTGTTCTTATATAAAGAATATAGTCATATGCTTGTCCAAGGCATAAAGAGTTGAAAAGGATAGAGAGAAAACATACTGTCGATGCCTAGCTGTTTAACTGCGGCGACAAACTGTTGATGGAGCTCAACCGACCATACCACCCTAGGCTTCTTTAAAGTCGACGTATCGTCCCTCTCCTCGGCCTCTTCTTCTGTATCCCTCCTCCTCTTCGAGCTGTTCCAACTTCCTTCATATACTGAAGATGAATAGTTAGCACCTTCAGATGGATTTTTCTCTCGATCGCCATCATCCACGCTCCCAGATTGCTCTAAATCCTTCCATTCAGTCTTTCGCTTCCGAACTACATGTTGCCATATGTTCCTAAGCGCTTCAATTCGAACGGGTTTGATCAGGTAATCACAAGCACCATGAATCACTCCCTTCATCACAACATTCTTCCCATCATCTGCTGACATCACTGTACAATCACATGTCTCCAATATTAGTCTGCAAAATTATATAAACCATATAATTATATAAGTAAGCATTCAAAGATCTAATAATAGCATCTAAACCACGTTACTCACTGATAACGGGCAAATCCATCTCCAACCCAACTTGCTCTAGAAGTTTGAATCCATTCATGTCTGGCATATGCACGTCACTTAACACAATATCAAACCCGTTTTTGTTCTCACGAAGCATGGATAATGCGATCTCAGCCCGATTACATTTCGTCACTGCAATTGAACTCCGAAAAGAGCAGATTAACTACTGATGATTTGTTGTATAATCAGAGAATTGTAAGTCAGAATTAGAATTAAAACTCAAGCCCCCACCATGGGATAAAAGAGTCCTAAATCTACAAACGAGTACTGAGATGATAGCTTCTGAAGCACGCAAGATAAATAGCAGACTTTGATGTAATCTCTGTTCTGGATCAAATAGGATAACTAGCTGGGAAAAAAGGGGTAGTAACTAATAAATTAACATGTGTCTATTACCAGAACCGAGCAGAGATTCAAGGTCAGACGCAAACCTAATCGTAAAACGACCTAAAGAAACCATCTAAGAAACTGTTCTGTGTGAATTACTAGCTCGCATAAAACAGAAAACAAGAAACGTGAAATCTGAACCCCCACGATGGAAAAAAAAAAAAAAAAAAAAGTAAAAAAGGAGTTCGATCGAAAACAAACCAGCATAGCAGCAATTCTGAAGCATCTTTTCCAAGATCCTGAGACAGGTAGGATCATCATCCACAACCAGGACGCGAAGACCCGCCGGGAACTGATCAGAAACCATTGAAGTCGGCGTCGGCATCGATCCCTTCATGTGGCTTAGATCCATTCCCCAGAGGCTCAAATATCCCGTAAATAGCAAGGGAGAGTAAAACAAAGACTACAGCTTTAGAAGATTGATCCCTAAGTTTACAGAGCCCATTTGGGGCTCTCAACAATA